GTTTCAGCAGTAAGGTTGAAACAGGTAAAAACCTGTTTATGTGCAGACCAGAGAGCAGTTAATAATTCATTCATCGCTCTCTCCTCTGTGCATTACAGGAGACTCACCTCTTTTGTGTCTTCTGTGTCACTGTCTGTTTCACTGGCTGCACAAATAAAGACACATAAACAGTTAAATTAGTATTCAGGAAATGGCAATTTTGCAACAAGCAATCTTTAGATTAGATACAGAGAACGATGTGGGGAGCGGGAGAAAGAGGAAAAGTCAATTCTTGATTTTAACCAGAAAATAAACCACAGTTTGCTTCCATCAGTGCATTTACAGTTTAACGTCTGCATACAGTAGCACAATGCAATGCCTATGTTAAAGTAAGTGAAGTTAAAAGAACATGTAAAAGAGGAGAACTACGAATGATTTTCATTTGAACCCTGACTCTACAAGTCACTGTAGCAACTGAGAAAGATAAAAAAAAAAAAAAAAAAAGCTCATGGAACAAAGAAGAAAGTTAGATGGAACGATTCCAGCTGTAAACTGGTAAAGCCAACTCTGCCTGAATGACTGGTTGTGACAATGCATACACAGAGAGGAGAGATCAGCGGGTCACCAGGTGGTTGCTAATAAAACGCTTTATTGAAGATGAAAAAGTGTCCAGTGTTGATAATGTCTGAGTGTCACTAAGTATTTCAGCAGAATCACCCTGTTTACTTTGAGCCTGTTTAGTTAGTGAGCTCTTAAACAGAACAAGCACCTCTCATATTGCCAGAGCAACAACTATTTGACTTCTTTTGCTCTCCTGCATAAATCTTTTTTCCCCCAAGAACTTATTTCTTTCGCCTTTATCTTACAACTCATTCCAACGAAAGCTGCTCTGCGTCAGTCTTTCCCAAAAACACATTCAAAAACAGACTGAAAAATGCTACTTTAGTTTTTAAGAGCTGTCAAAATCACGTTTAAGACATTTTAGTGCGTACAATAATTACATTATGGATTTTAGAGCCTACGGACACACTGGTTATGGTTTTACATTCAGCTGGTTTACCCACATTGTTCCTGTCTTAAGATACAATCTGAGTACTGAAATACAAAAGACGCAGACACTTCAGGGGAATGATGTAATGACAGATATGAGCAGTTCATCAGGTCCTGACACACGGTTTTGTTATTCGCTGGTTAGCACTTGATCCAAACCAAAGAACGGATCCGTCAGCCAGATAAAGCTGTGTGTTTCTCCAAACACAAAAGTAGCATTAACCATGCCCTTAGAAGCTGCTCTTTGTGTGTGTGGTAGCCACTTTGTTGCTCTTCATAACTGTGGTCAAAGCTGTGGTTCTAAATAACTTTGACTGCTTCTACAAGCCTGGTCCCGTCTAACTAACCTATTTACGCTCCTTCTCGTAACAGATGGTGGTAAACTGCGATGTGTGTGTGTGTGTTGTCTCACCGCAGCATGAAGACACAGGAGATATCTGGAGCGGGTACGAGTGGGAGGAGCTAACGGTCTGCTCTTCGTTCTCAGTGGTCACCTCAATCGTCTGACAGACGAATGGCAGCTGCTCGCTGGTGATCACATGGTCTTCTACAGAACTGTGGATGGCTGCGAAAGGACAGGCGGGATATGTCAGGACGGGCTGAAGATGTAGCAGACTAATCTAACCGCTTTCATCATCCCTTCATACACATCAACTACTACCTATTACTCAATATTGAGTTCACCCCCTGGACTACTAAGCTTGTCTCCCTGATGTAAGAGAACATATGACACATCATCATCATCATCATC